TCCCCCTCCTTCCCCCGTGCGTGGGGAGTGCCTCCGAAGCTGTGCCTGGCCAAACCGCCAAGTGACCGGAAAACGTTTCCCGCACATTGGCTGTTAAATCGCGTTTCAAATGCATCCTGGTTTCTGTTGCGTTGTGCGGTGCGATTGGCATGGCATGACATAGCAGCGCGTGACATTGGCATGCACAGTAGTAATTCGGGTAAGGATATGATGCCGAATGTTTGGTGCATTCTGTCGGCACCAATTCGTTTCAGACGCGCGGGGAGCGTGGCAACACCATCCCCGCGCCAGCTATATGCCTGTACTGTCTGGCTCAAGGCTCGACGTCCGAGCGAGGAAAAACATGCCCGAGAAGAGGAGCAACGAAGCGCGGCAACGCCGTTTGCTCCTCCGCCTCTCCCGTACTTGCGACACCCTCCTCAGGCTGAGGCTTCATCTCCCGATAGACGATACTCTTCAGCATACTTTTCCCATACCTCCTTCCAGAGCCCGGGAAATATTTCGTCTTATAGTGCAGGGAGTGGAGTGAACATCGAAGAACTGGCAAAGGAAGAAGAACAATGGAGTCAATATGATGTATTCTGCGCACCCGTTCGTGGACCAGCACACGCTGATGTCCACAAGCGTTATGAGCCCAAGCGGACCTTCGGCTTCCTTCCCTTCCCAGCATCCTCTTCGACGACCACCTGGACGCCTTCATCCGCATGTGCTGCAGAATGGGGCACGTGGATGATCCGAACGCGCCACGCGTGCGCCGACGCGATGACCGGGCCCACTGTCACGTGCTCGGCGTGCCACGCGCCCGTGCACAGCCACTGCGTGGCGAGGCGCATGGGCTGCATGGCGCGCACGAGCTGCGCCAACGAGATGGACTTCGCCTTCGCGAACCATCAGGCGCAGCAGAGGATGGCGACGAGCTCCGCGGGCTTCGGGCGCTTCATGAGCGCCGGCGGCCAGTGCGCGGGGCAGGCTATCGGCGCGGTGGCCACCGGGGCCGCGGGAGGAGCGGCCAGGCTGGCGACAGGCAGCGCCTCGGGCGCCGTCTCGGCGACCCGGGGCACGCGCGAGGTGGCGGACGCGATGGCCGAGTTTAGCCGGACGCGCGCGGAGATGGAAGCTCTGAGGGAGGAGAACGCGAGGCTCCGAGGAGGGAGCGCAGCGCCAGCCCAAGGTGGGCACGCGACGCCTTCATCGCCTGAGCGACTGGCGGAGGAGATCGCCGAGGCCCAAGACGAGGGCATCGATGCCGTCTGCGGCGCGGATTGGTCTCAGGCGGGGGGGCCTGCCGCGAGCGGTGCTGGAGACAGCGCCGCCGAGATTCACGAGGTGAGGGCCGCGAGCGTGCCGGCCAACACGAGTGCCGAGCACGTCGAGGAGTTCTCCGTGAAGGCTGCGGCGCCGACGAGCGCCACGCAGCAGGAGCAGCCGCCAGGACTCGGCGCAGCTGCTCAAGCCGACACCGCGCCTGCAGGACATCCAAGAGGTGGTCATCCTCATGGTGGTGGTGTACCTGGAGGCGCTGGGCCGCCTGGAGGAGGCCTCGGGGGTTTTCCTGGAGGTGTCCCACATGGCGGCGCTGGATTCGGAGGACGTGGACTGGGCCACGCAGGCGGGCACCCCCATGGAGTCGGCGGCGGTGGCTTCAGACTACCAGGTGGACCTGGTGGCGGAGGTGGGCCCGGCGGATCTGGAGGAACCTCTCCAGGAGGTGGCGGGCCCAATCGTCCTGGCGGATTTGGTGGGCAGCCTGGAGGCGGAGGACCTCCACCACCACCGCCGCCTCCGCCGCCATATGGCGCTGCTGCAGCGGCGGCAGGCGGGCCGAAGCGCGATGCGTCGCTCGAGAGCACGCTCGCGAAGATGAAGGCGGCCGACTTGCCGCATTCGGCCTGGAAGGGCAGCCTGGCCGCCAAGCCGGGAATACTAGAGCATGGGATCCAGAGGGCGTCGCTCGACCTCGGGGGGACGCACCACCTCGTCGAGCGCCACTGGTCGCAGGTGCCGGGCGTGGTGGTGGAGACGCACGAGACGTACTTGCGCCATCGGCCCCTGGACCGCCCTGCGATCAGGCCCATGCAGCCTGCGCAGCTCCCCCTCAATGAGGCCGACGCGGTGAATTTCCACAGCGTGGAGTTGCGACTCCCGGGCCTGCTACTCGCCCCCATGCCTGAGGACGTCAAGCAGGCGTGCCTGAGCACGAGGCAGACGATGCACCACCGATATTTTATTCATTGCGCATGCGTCGGCTGGCCCCGGCACGGGCCCTGACGAGGACCACGCTTTGCAGCAAGTGTCCAAGGGGAGGCACGTCGACGTGACGGCGACCTACGACGAGCTGCAACGCTGGAAATTCAGCGCCAACCGCCTCGCCACTATAGGCGTCGCGGCTCCCGACCCCAGCGTGCAACTGTCGCCCCTGAAGGCGATCGCGCACAAGATGTTGGAGTCCAACGAGGATGCGAAGCGCCGCTACTTCGGCTTTTCGTGACTCGTGGTCTCAGCGGTGGGGTGGCGAACCAGGCCCAGGTTGACGAGCTCTGGCGTTATCTCAGCGCGGAGGCGAGGGAGTTCGCGGACGCGGTGCCCCAGAAGGACGAACCTGCCGCGAGACAAGGGGACCCCAAGGGGAATCCGAAGGGAGGCAAAGGCGACCCGAAGGGAGGAGACCCCAAGGGAACAGCCAAGGGCCAGCCCAAGGCGAAGGCGAAGGCGAAGGCCGAGAAGGGCAAGAACGGGAAGCTGCAGGACGTGAAGCTCTGCACCTTTCTCAGCACGCCGGGAGGCTGCAGCAAGGGCAAGCAGTGCACTTGGCACCACCCGAAGCTCAGCCCTTCCGACGGCCGTTGTTTCAACTGCGGCTCCACTTAACATCGAAGTGCTGACTGCACCCGGCCGAGGGGGGCAGATGCGGCTGCTGCTGGCGCACTGGCTGCTTCAGCTGCCCCTGCGACGTCGTTGTCTGCAGTTCCTCCTCAGTCGGCGGCTTCGGCGTCTGCTGAGACGGCGGCGGCCACCTTGACGGCTGCCGACGTTCGCGCCGAGGTCCGCAACGAGCTGCTTGGCCTGATGCAGATGGGCGCCGGGGCGCCTGCTGGCCAGGCGGATGCCGAGTTCTGGAACGCCAGCGATCCGAGAGCAAAAATGGTGACCATCAAGGCCAAGATGATGATCGCGAACGGGGAGCGGTACCTCCTGGCGGGCACGGGCGCCACGCACGAGCTGAGGGGCGCCAAGGACTTCGGCGACCTCGGCGACGACGCGCGGACGGCGCAGCCGGAGACGGCCACGGGCTCGCATAATGCGCGCATGGTCGGCGACGCAGTTTTCGTATTAGGTGAACACTTACAAAGATTATTCTCACTTGCGTCGTACGCGGAGACCACGGGGTTGGAGATGGAGTGGAACCCTCGGCGGCGCGGCGCGCATGTAGGAAACGATTTCGTCGACCTCCACCGGGGGAACGGCAGCATCTACATCAGCGAGAAGACCGCGGATATTCTTCGAGCGGCTCGCCGAGCCCACCTTCGGGAAAAGTTCAGGGCCTCTACGGCAGCTTTGGCGATAAGCCTCAGGATTTTGACGAAGCTCCGCGAGCGCCAGGAGGGCGGGCACATTGAGCTGCCCGCAGCGCCGCGGCGCCCAGGGCAGGATGCGTCAGCATTTCCGCCACGATGCCAGCACGCGCCCAGGCGGGCAACTGAGCGTCGACCTGAGTGGGCCGCACCTTCCAGGACGCTGGCCATCGGGAAGGACCGGGGACACGGGCAGGATGGCGCAGCACTTCCTCTTAGGGACGTTCTCGGTGGCGACCGCGGCCGACATGCAGAAGCGAGCTCATCGTGAAGGAGAAGCTCGCGAGGCAGCCGGAGTGCCCGATGATGCGCCCGAGATGGGCGCCATAGGTGTTTCTGTTGATGACGATGTCGGACAACTGGCTGCTCGAGTCGCTGCCGCATCTGAGGTGTCGGAGCTCGGTGAGCTGCGCCTCAGAAGCGACCGCCCGGGCCTGATGGCGGCGAAACCTGCGCACGTGCCCGGCCATCCCCAGGACGAGGAGGGGCCCGCGGAGGCCGAGGTCGCACCAGAGATCGACGGGGCGGGCTCGGAGCAGGCGAAGACGCGGCACTTCGTGGCGCCCCTGGAGAACAAGCGCTTCGAGACGTGCAAGAAGGGTTTAGGATGGATTTTGGCAACGATTCGGTCCGAGTTCGAGGGCGCGAACGCGGCGCGCCGCATCCACGGCGACAGGGCGAGCGAGCTGGCCGGCACCAAGTCGAAGGAGCACTTTGCGAAGCAGGGCATCTTGGTCACCAGCGCGCCGGGGCGCGAGCCGAACAACAACCCCCGCGCCGACAAGGGAATCGGCCTCGTGAAGTTGAGGGCGAGGGCGATGCTGCTGAGCTTCCCGGACCCCCGCGACAGGCAGGACCTCTGGCCCTTGGCGGTGCAGCACGCGGCCTGGTGCAGCAGGATGGCGGCTCAGGGGCGGAAGACGAACTGCCCTGCTTTCGGGGCCAAGGTCAGCTCTAGAGTGAAGGACTTGCCCCACGACGTGCGAAAGGGCGGTGGACAGCATCTTCCTCGGCGTCGACCCCGAGAGCGCGCGGCTGGCTGGGCAAATCGACCCAAAGGCTTCTCGCCCCGAAGCGCGCTGGGTGATCGAGTCCTCGAGCTCATTCGTGATCCACCCGTGCCTCCATTGGGCCGCGGCGAACGCGGCCACGCGCCGGGGGCGTGCGGCGGCGGCGGCGCGGAGAGCGCCAGAGCGGTAGAATCTGCCGTGCGCGTTCTGAAGATCGAGCTCAACGAGCGCATCCGCTTCCGCCCCGATGGTCTGGGACCCGTCCGGGAAGAAGGTGGACGCCTCCCCCTCGGCCCGGCAGATGTCCTCGAGCCACGCCCTCATGAGTTTGACAGTGCGAACGGGGCCGTCCGGGGTGACGATTCCCAGCTGCCGCGGTTCGAATGAGGAGCGGAGCTCCTCGGTCGCCTTGTCGACG